TTTCTGGGGCCCACCACCGTTACACACTAAACGACCGAGGATCACACACTACCAGACTTTAAATTCCTTCCGATCACAATAAACTCACACAGAAATGTGCGCATTGTTGCTAGGAGACACAGGACAAATGAAAACAATATGTGTTTTAAAATTTGCTGAAAATATGAAACATGTTTGATCTCCGACTGCATGGAATCAAAGTCTGAAGCTAAAAAATTTGGAGTCTGTGACCATCATATACTACGTGATTTTCTATTATGTCAGCTTAAATCTACAGACTGAATCTGACCTTTGGCAACTAGTGACAACTTCTCCAGACTGTAAATCGGTGGAAAATCGGGGCAAAATATTGTGTAGTGTATTCCAGGCTTAGAATATAAAGAAGTTGTCATCCATTTAATAAGAGGCTTCATAATGAGGCTAGTTTCTGTGTTCATCACCATGAATGAAATATTTTATTGGTTTGTTTTATTAGATTTTTGAATATGTGTTACTTAATCAAACATATTGCAACATCAAGACTAGTCCACGTTCAGCTGACACTTTTGAATGACACTATAAATTAAGCACAGCCAGACTGTTTGCATCTAATGACGTACATCTTAACTGAAATGTTTGTGTCATTTAAAATAAAATAAAATATTATTGTGTGAGAGATTAATATTTTATTTTAACATAAGTTTTAGTATTGAAACTGATATCTTGTGAACTAAAAATGTCTCAATGTAGATTTTGGTGAGATTAATAGGTAAGTTTACCCTATTTATTGCATGTTCAGCTGATTCGGTTAATCATCTGATGTCTCCGATTTGTGCCTTGATCTTAGTGTTTGTTAACCATTGTTGTAATCTTTAGCACTGATGATAGTCCAGTAAGGACTGAAACGTTTGCTTTTTGTGTGTGTGCACAGACACTTTTTTTGTAAGTGCACTTTATTTTTTATCACCTTGATGTAAATCTCCAGGAAAAAAATGTCTTCAAAGGACCTTGAACTTTGCATTTCGTTTCTTGTGCAGATTTTTTGTTCTTAATCCTGTTCCTCACGTCCCCCTCCTCTGCACATGCCCTCTGCATTTCTCTCTCTCACCTGATTCAGATCATCAGCTTGTCAGCTCCATCAATAAATTGTGTTCCAATTGTACGCTTTGTGTATTGACAGACAGATATTTTTCACATAGCTACAAGAAGCGTTAGACATGGACACGCACACGGTTGCTGTGGTAGCGAGCACTAGATGGTTTAGCGAATCACAACACACTGGGCCAGTTAACCAATCTGAGCCCATTGCGTATTTCTGAGGGAGGGGCTTCATAAAAACAGGAAATCATCAGAGCGTTCATAAGAGAAGGGTCAGAACGGTGTAGAATTTAGGTAAATTATGTGAAAAAAAAAAAAAACGAAGCATTAACACCTGTTAGACTGCACCCCATAAACACAATCAAGCTTAGAAAAAAAAAAAAACACTTTACCACCCCTTTAAAAGTTACATTTTTAGGGTGGTTGGCCTCAGGGGTCTAACTGCACTAGTCAATGTCAAAATGATTGAGATGGTCTGTCAAATCATATTAGGTGGGGTTTACTGTTCACAGAAGTAAAGCAGAAGTAAAGTAAGGTCAGATGGAAGCAGTTAAATGTTTAATATTTGACAACTCTTTCACAATAGAAATGACAGACAGTAACATCCAGTGATGCAAATAAAATAAAATATTATTAGAGAGATTATATTATATTATTTTAATATTAATTTCCCTTTTTTGATAAATATGGCTGATTTGAATTGAAAATATGGTATCATTACGTGATGTAGGCTACTTCCTAACAATTTTTTTCTTAGAATGTCTTGTGTGATTTAAAAAAAAAATGATGAAAAATGACCTTCATTAAAGATTTGCACATAGTCTCATTGGGTGCTTAAACAGAAAGCTGAATCCTATTGAGGCTGTGTCCTCTCTCGTGAAAAATAAATATACTAAAATGTATTTGAAATACATTTACTTCATGCTAAGTATACTACAAATACATTTTTGTATTTATGTGCTTAATAAAATGTCCTGCAATTGTACTTATAGTGTACTAAACTGGTATACTTAAAGTCTGCTAAATTGGAACAACTAATTTTGTACTTAGTATATTGTGCTAAAGTGGAACTATTGCAAGTATACTTCAGGTACACTTTAAATATTTTGCATTTAAAGTCGGATAATATTCAAAGATCATACAATCCTCATTAAAAGTGACATTAAAACACATTTTAGACTTAATATTAAGAAAAGTGCATTGTGCACAAGTAATATGCCAAGTAAAGTTTAGGCTAATTATAATTTTTATATCAGTAAGTCTCGAGTTATCTGTCAGTAAATATGTTAATATATTTGAATTATACTTATTATGAAATAAATTTATATTAAATATATTACTTTTTTACTAGGGCTGTCTAGTCCCGGTACAAGAAATCATAATAAATATTAATAAAGCAAGATGCCCTGTTGAAATATGGTGTATGAAGTAATTTATGGGTTATTTAGATTGCAACGGTAAAATATAAATTAAAATTATTGTGACAGATGTGAAGGGAGAGGATAATGTATATACTATATGCATCAGGCTTTTTAGTAAGAAACACTTCCTCATAGGATACACCTGTGTATCCTCCTTTATAGCTCCTCTGGAAGCTTCCTCAGTCCTGGTTCCTCACAGTGCAATTAAGTACATAAATTAGATGTCCTCAAAGTCCCTTTCAAGGAAAGTCTGTTCACTCGGTGGCCATATTTGCAATGCATCCAGGCAACTCAAACAAGACCAGGTCCTATCTAAATGAATGGGGTAATCCTGAAATCTCAAAAACTGCTCACTGAACTCGCAATTAAATTACATATTTCAAATCAGCAACAAAATCTGAACAACAAATCTGTGCATTACCTCCGTGAAGTTGGCACCCCATAAAAAGAAATAATCACCAAAAATATGCCATTTGTTTGTGCTACGTTTGTGCTGATTTGTGCCGCGAAAACGAACATTTGTGCTGGTTTGGTGTTTGAGATATTAAACATTATTTTTTTTGACCGTGTGACGTCACTCTCCACCCCATGTTGCCAAAATCGCTCCAAACCAGCGCAGTTCGTTTGTGCTCGATTTGTGCCCGTTTGTGCCGTTAAAACAAACACTGCATCTATTTTCCTTCCTTAGATATAACCAAAATATTTTCGGGAGCTGTGACGTCACACTCCACCCCAGTTCGTCTAAAGCGCACAAAACTGGTGTCATTCGTTTGTGCTCGATTTGTGCCGGTTTGTGCTGTTAAAATGAACATCAAATATATTTCCCCTTCATAGAAATAACAAAAACAATTCTGGGCAGTGACGTCACTCTCCACCCCATGCTGTCCAAATCCCTCCAAACCGGTGCCGTTCATTTGTGCTCGATCTGTGCTGATTTGTGCCGTTAAAAGAAACAATGAACTCTGCGGCCGCGCTAAACGGGGTGGAGAGTAAAGTTCCCGTTATATTTAAGAAGAGGTTATGGTTACATTTTTTCTTTTAACGGCACAAATCAGCACAGATCGAGCACAAATGAACGGCACCGGTTTGGTTTGGAGGGATTTGGACAGCTTGGGGTGGAGAGTGACGTCACTGTTCGTAAAAAGTTTATTTTTATTATATAAAAGAAGCGGTCAAAGTTACAGGGTTTCTTTTAACGGCACAAATCAGCACAGATCGAGCACAAATGAACGGCACCGGTTTGGAGAGATTTGAAAGGCATGGGGTGGAAAGTGACGTCACTGCCCAGAATTGTTTTTATTTCAAGTGCTAACACAGTGCAACTACGGGCACAAATCGAGCACAAACGAACTGCGCTGGTTTGGAGCGATTTTGGCAACATGGGGTGGAGAGTGACGTCACACAGTCAAAAAATAATGTTTTATATCTCAAACACCAAACCAGCACAAATGTTCGTTTTTGCGGCACAAATCAGCACAAACGTAGCACAAACGAATGGCATAGTTTTGGTGATTATTTCTTTTTATGGGGTGCCAACTTAACGGAGGTCTGTGCATTGGCTGGTCTAGCCTCAGGTTTCTATGGGAACTAGTGTTGTTATGTTCGTGAACGATTCGTTCTTTTTGAACGAATCTTTTTGGTGAACGTGCTTTACTGTATAGGTTTTTACTGTTTTACTTCATTGTTGTATGCCTGTATTTATGTAACACCGTGGTCCTGTGAGGCACGACATTTCATTCCACTGTATGTCCCCACATGCAGCAGAATGACAATAAAGCTCAACTTGACTTGATTTGACTTGATACATCCCATGCATCCTTCAAATTGCTTGGTCCTGACACCCCCACTCACTGTACATAAATACAATATAAATGACCATATTAAACCATACTACTAAATTACCATACTAAATTAAAATGCCCAAGTACTGTTCCAATATGTCTAAAAGCCAGTCCTCTAATCCTGCTCCTGGAGGACCAACGTCCTGCAGAGTTTAGCACCAGCCATCTCCAACACATTTGCCTGGAAGTTTCCAGTGAGTCTGGAGACCTTGGATGCATCTCAATCAGCTCCTGAGCTTGTGAATCAGTACATTGTGTACACGAATCTGGGCAATGGCAAGAACCCTGGCTTACTGCATATTTAGAAATGTTTTATTCAATTTCCGGGCAGCATGATTACGTACAACGACAACGTACAACGTTGTAGAACATCACCACTGTCATTAATCAGAAACAGATGGGACCTATATCTTTTTTTATAAAAAAAAAATGTATGCACTTTAAACACATTGTTCTGTTACATATTCTTAGAACGTTTAAGCCAAATATTAATTGATGTTATTTCTGAATGTTACTAGATGTCTTCGCTACCTGTCTAGCAATGTGTTTACGCTAAAATAATAATAATAAAAAAGTGGGTTTGTCTTTTCAAATTGCATGTCATCATATAAGGTCTACCTGCAGACTTCCAACCCTATTCCAAGTTAACACACCTGCCTGCCAGGGTTGCAGTGCACTTTAATGTTTTGTCTCCAACAACATGAATGTGAGTAAATGATGTTACAGTTTTCTTTATTTTGGGTGAACTATTCCTTTAAATCAAAGATGGTACCATTCCAGGGGGGGGGAGGCAAAGTCCTTGCCTGACTTTTCTCTTCAGTGAAGAGAATTTTTAGCTTCATACACCGATTTCATACACGTTTTGCATGTGCAATAAATATAATGACATTAAGGGTGTAGAATTGGTTTGCTGCATTTAGATATGGCTGACAGAAATAACCCACATTTCAAATGGGTCTTTGACAGAAATGCATGTAAAATTGTGGTGGAGCACAATGACACCCATCTGTCAGTCATCAAATACATAGCCTGGAATGAGGGAATTCAAGAAAATTCCCTGCGCCTGTCTAAGGCAACAAAAAAAAGTGTTTGCCTCCTTTGACTGCCTATCTGAACTACACAGAATTAGAAGTAACAGACCTCTTTGGTGTTTGATGTGTCTTTCTGTTGATGTGTTTGGTTTAGGATGAGGAGGATGAGATTAAACTTGAGATTAACATGCTGAAGAAATTCTCCCACCACAGAAACATTGCCACATACTATGGTGCTTTTATCAAGAAGAGTCCTCCTGGACATGATGACCAGCTGTGGGTGGGTATCTGAACATCTATCATGTTTTTCACAGCCTCACTGTCTATTTAAATAAATTGCATTTCACTGATGTACTGTAGAATTCTAAATTCAAAAATGTTTGTCAAGACAAAAAGCCTGACCAGAAACTTTGAAGCAGTTTTAAAATCTTGAAGATTGAAAGGTTTAAACAGATAGCTCAAAGTTCAAACAGGTAGCTATGTGGTTGCTAGGAGTTTGTTAAAGTTTTTATGATGATTTTGAGAGACTATTTGCCATTTTGAATGAAACGAGCCCACACCCATGATTCTCCAACGTTCTTATGTTTAGAGATGGCTGGCTCATTTTCCTATAAGGATGCTGCTACATTTGTATAGAAGCAGCAGCAACATATGAGATAAAACTTAATAAGAAGAAATTTAAATACAACATTAGTATTTTAACTTTTTAAATGCCTTTTTATGTTGTTTTCCCCCTTTGATTTTTCTGTCTGTGCAGTTGGTCATGGAGTTTTGTGGTGCTGGATCTATAACAGACCTTGTTAAGAACACCAAAGGCAACAGTTTGAAAGAAGACTGGATTGCATACATCTCCAGAGAGATTCTGAGAGTGAGTGACAACAGCTCTCCATTTACACACTTTCTCAGGACTTTCCATTTTCATAGAATCATCTCCAGTCTTTTGAATCTATTTCACCTTTCTCTTCACTGAATTCTTTTACTCAGTGTTTGTCCTCAAGGGTGGAAATTTGTGCAATTTCCATAACTTTTACATCTGAAGTTTAATGTAGAGTCACTTTTTCTTCTCAGGGTCTGGCCCATTTGCATGCCCACCATGTCATCCATCGTGACATTAAGGGTCAGAATGTGCTGTTAACAGAGAATGC